CATGTCTTGCATTATCTTTTGGGCAACTGCTGAGTATTCATTACTAAGTTGAAACCCCATGTCCTTCATAAGATCATGTCCCCATAGGGAGATTGGAAGATCAAGTACATATGGTTGAAAAATGCCAGAATGTCCTTCAGAATCTTTCCATGATAGATGTCTACAGCTGACTTGTGGAGCTTGAGCATATCCTAAACCCCTCAGCGATTGATTCGAGAGTTGCACCGGCCACCCCTTTGACCAGTCCTTCATTGCTATTATGCTACGATCTGCTCCAGTATCCAGTAATCCTAAAATTGATTTGCCTTCTATAGTTAATTTCAATGTGGGACGGTCATCCATTTCTAAGGACAAAAATACACAATTTCCCCCCGTAGTTCCAATCTTATCGTTTAATCTCAAATGGGAGCCAGCAGGAAAACGGGTATGTAGACTGGGTAAAATTAACAATTGAGCAATCCGGTCTCCTGGGGAGATGGACACAATACCTTTTGGAGCTTCTACCATAACCTTTACTGTTCCTATTGTATCCGGATTAATAATTCCAGGGAAGACGTAAAGGCCTTGTAAAGTGGAAGAAGCACGCCCCACTAACAACCCTACAGTACCAGGTGGCAAAGGTCCTTTAAAGTCAGTTTCCACCAATTGGACTCCCATTTTAGGTGTTAATACGAGTCTGGAGGCGGAACAGAGGTCCAGTCCCGAGGCACCTGTAGTGGTTCTCCGCGGTCTTTGGGATGTCGTAGAGATGGCCATGTTTCGCTCTCCATGGTCCCATTCTCCATTGCCCCATATATTTGCGGGCCCTGAGGTCGAGGGCCCTTCCGGCCGTTTTTTGGCACCTGTCTATCTGATATTGGCTGTCCATGGATGTCCTTGACTGATCTGCATTCATTAGCCCAATGTTTACCCTTTTTGCAACGAGGACATAGTCCTGGCTGTCGAACAATTGAGGATGACCCTTTTTTGTCCTGTAACTGACATGTTCGGGGACAATCACGCTTAAAATGTCCCTCCTGGCCACATCTAAAGCACTTTCCTGTATGAGGGGGTGGCTTTCGGGTTAGCTGGAGAACGGCAGCAGCCAACCCTGCATTAGTAAGTGGCCCACCTATTTCCCTACAGACTTTCATCCATGCCTCTATTCCTTTATTCTTATATGGGGTTATAGCTGCTTTGCATTCCTTAGTACATTGTTCAAAAACAAGTTGTTTGATCAAAGGCATAGCTCTATCAGGGTCCCCGAATATTTTCCCCGCTGCATCTACCATCCGAGCCACAAAGTCAGAAAAAGGCTCTGTGGGGCCTTGGATGATCTTAAATTACCAGATACTTCCCCTCTGTTAGGCAAGGACTTCCAGGCTCAGATGCAGATGTTGTTGATTTGCTCATATACTTCCGGTGGGTACCCTGTTTGTTGATTGGCAAATCTGCCCTGTCCCAAAAGCATGTCCTTATCCCAGGCAGGGCGTCCTGCCGCATGGTTTTGGGCCGCCTGCTCTACTGCCCCCTCTAACATAAATGCTCTCCAATCCAGATACTTTCCTGGAGAAACACAGGCGCGCACTAGGCTCGCCCAATCAGACAGAGTCATACAAAAGCGAGAAAGGCCCTCCACCTGGGTAAGTGTAAATGCAGCATCCACACCATAGGTTCGGACTGATTCAGCCAATGTCTTGACAATTTTAAAGTCAAGGGGTTTATGATATCGCCCCCGATTGGCATATTGAAACACAGGGAATGCTAGACCCATGTCCGAATGAAACTTTCTCCAAGTTTGCGCACGAAACGTCCTATTGAGTCCTGGGTTAGGATAGGGTGGAGGGTCAGGAGGAACCTCCAAAGCATCCACCCCCTCTTCCTCATATCCCACATCTGTCTTTGGGTTCTTATGTTCTGTGTAGACAGCCTTTCGGGGATCACCTCGCCCTTTACTTTCACCTTTTCCCCTTTTCTCTCTAGCTTGCCATGATAGCAATTCCAATACTTCCTCATTGTCTGGACTACTGTCTTCCTCAAAGGCTTTCAATTCAGTCAAATCTGGATAAAGTCTAGTCTTTGGCTGGCTTGAACGTTTATTATCTCTATCACTTCCCCCACTCTTAATACTTTCAGCTCCCTCGGACCTCTCCTCATGCAATTGTTCAAGAACCTCCTGTCCTTTGGTTAGGGCATCCTGACATCTACTGTCAGATAAACAACCCCTTACTAACTTCCATAAGGGAATCACCCCACCTTCGAGGGTCCCTTGTTCGTGTGCAAAATCTAAATCCTTGCCTAGCTTTTCCCAACTGGGGGTCGTGAGACTGCCCGAGTAAGCAAACCACGGGGCCGCTAGATCTACTTGTTTTAAGAACATCTGCAAAGTACTCTGTTTAACTTTTAAACCTTTAGATCGTAAGTCCATCCAGGGCTAACAGAATAGGGCTAGAAGCAGAGGCGCCCATTGCGTTAATGCAGAAAGCGAAAGCAAAGAAATAAAGCGAAAGTCCAAAAAATCCCCGCTCTCTCTTTTTACAGAGGAGCGACCCGCTAATTTTCTGCGGATTCCCACTTACCTGGGAACTTACCGGTGCACCACCCTGACCGCTGAAAGTTCTGGATCCTGGGATTGAGAGGTATTCGGTTCCCCGTCCGGGCCACCAATTGTCACGACCCCCTCGCCAGCAAGGAAGACACGACACAGGATTCTTCTTTCAGGGGTTTATTCAGGCCTTAACTCTAGTTTTCTCTCAAACGCTCTCTTTCTCCACGCACCCACACACAGCCTAATAAAGCTTACTCAAGTCCAATCCAAAGCTGCCACGCAGGGTTTTCTCATAGGGTGTTGAGGGACAGCGCGCCAACTTTTCCTAATAAGGAGTTGTTTACCAAGATCTACAATAGAGACCGGCGCCATCTTCTAATGGCGGCAATGGTCTACAAACACGGCTCACCACAATAAAATACTGAGAGTTTTTTGTTTTGTAGTACTTTAATTATTTTCAAGTGAGCATCTGGGAACTTCTTTTGTAATGCTTTAAAAGTATTTTTAATTTAAAGTGCTATTCATTTATTCATGAATTCATTCATTTAACAATTATATATATTCAACTACATATAATATATATTAGTATATTATTACATATATTCCCAACTATGCTTTATATAAAATGATACTATTGATTCAAATATTATATAATGTTACCATTAACTTATACTGAAGATGATTGAAAATATTCACATAGCACTTAAGGTTATGCAGCTTTAAAATAAGAGAATAGTGGAAAGATATTGTGATTTGAATCCTGTGGAGTAATTAACCATTTCAGATTAACTGTTTTTCTTTACTGTAGCTTTCTATGGCATAACTTTACATCAACTATTAATTATTATCTTCTATTAATTACTAAGTTGAAAATAAAAATCCAGTTTGTTCCATAGAAAAATAGAATGTTTTCCCAAGGACTCTTTGTATTAATATTTTTTGAGTTTTATTCCTTAAACCATGTCGAAGTGAAAACTGTATTGGTGAAATGAATAAGAAAGAAATGAAAAAGCATATACTTGTACATAATTATAATTATTTCAATACAAGCAAATTAGTATATCACTTTTAAGGAAAGTGTAGATGCTGTCCTCTCAGTGTGGGCATAGGTACTATACGGGAATCACATTTGTTGGTTAATAATTTACATAGGTCAGAAAATTAGCAGTAACTAGTGAAAATGAAAAATCCTTCTTTTATGCAGATATTTACTCAGAAATATTTAAAAACATCAAACTTAAGCAAATGTTGATCAAACTGAGTTTCCCAAACAGTAACAAGTGGACCGACATAAACTGCACATTTCTTCAAAGGTAGATCACAAATATTATTAAAAGCATTATTTTTTTACTAAAGTTTTTACTTCTTTTTATGTGCATTTTTCAATGATTTTAAAGTCTATATGTTAATGTGATTTATTTATAAATCATTTTGAATAAGTAAAATGTTAATATATTGCAGAGATAAGGAAAAATGCCAAGTTTAACTACTAGTTGATGAATTCATTAGGCAATTTAAACAAAACTGAACTCTTTTAAAAATAAAAATATAGCATAAATAAAAATAAATTAAAAATAGCATGAAATTTATGCTATTTTAGAAATTTTAAATATGTATTTTGGGGTTTTATTTTGTTGTCTTTAGTTTAAAGTATAACCAATGCTAATTAGATAATGTTGACTTTCCCCTTAGTGACACCCTCTCCTCCAGCTTATAAGATCACTTTGTCAACTGATTAGATTTTAACCAGATTATACACTAAGTATACAAAGGGGAAGCTTTACATTAAAGCAGGAACTGAAATGGGCTCTCAGGTGTGTGCACAAGGGTTGACTTCTATCCAGGCCTTTTGTGGCTTAGTTGCATAAAGATCATATCTAATATCGACTGAATGCAATTCCAAGCACTCTTCCAAGTATTCCATCTGTATTATTCTCTCTAATACAGCAACCCTTCAAGATGGCTATTATTATTATCTCTTTTTCTTTTCTTCTTTCCTTTCTTTCTTTCTTTTTTAAGGAGAAACTGAAGCATACAGTCGCTTATATGCACAACATCCACTTGCGTAGGGAAAAGTCACCAGTATTAAAATTTGCAGGTGACTGTGGTGTGCAAACGTCACTACTCTGCTAGTCTGTCACATCCAGTCACACTCTACTCCTACACGTATTCACAGAACTTCATGTCCTAATTCTGGCAAAACTCTGTGTGTACGTTGCCTCAGGCACATCTGAGATTTAGACCCTCGCTCAGCGGCAAGAGCAAGGAAGGATCTCTGGAGCCGGGCGAATCCTGTCTCCTAGGCAACACAGTTGCGCGCAGAACCCTCTCCCAAGACCTAGACAGGCGATGTCACTTCCTTAGTCCAGCCGGTTGCCCCCAGTGACGTGTTAGGCGGAAGGGCGGTGTTGGGTACCCAAGAGACCCGGCGTTGTAGAAGTCACTTCCTCCCGGGGACGCCGTCGCCTAGCAACTGCCTCCCGCCTACGTCTTTGGCCCCGCCTCCTTGCTTAGTCCGGGTTTCTGAGCGCTGCCAGGCCCAGACTGAGGCTAGAACCTCCTGCTCCAGGCGAGTGCCTCCGTCCTCCTGGTCTCTGGGAGACCGCCACGCGATTGGCGGGGGTGGGTACAGAACGCGGGACATTGGGGTAGCGACGGATGGCGGCGGTGACAGCCTCGGGGTGTGCACAGGCCGGGCTCTTGCTGGGGGCCCTGGCTCGTGAGCGGCGGGCGGGGACCTGGAGGGCACCTGGCCCAGCCGGGAGTTTGTGTGGTACTGGGACGTGCGCTGATGCGGGTGATCCTGCGGCCCTGGTCTAGGCCTTCAGCTTGGAGCTTGAGCAACAGCGATGTTAATACAGCATCGCGGAAACCTCTTTTTGTTTTTCCTAGCCTTGTTAACACTTTCGTGAGGGACAAAAGTGGCTTGAAAAAAATATCGCTGGCTATTTGTGGTTAAGCATTATGATTATTTTCTTTGCATAGAGCTATAATGCAAGCAATTTGTGTATAGGCTAGTGTTTTTATAACGTATACAATCCTCTTGGTGGACTTAATAGAGCATGACTAGTTGAGAAATGCTTTGCTTTTTTGAATGGAAAAGAGGAAAAATAGGATGTTATGTATTAATTGGCAACTTTTATTTTTATTAACCAATAGCAGTCATTTATTTGTTCATCCTTAAAATGCAAAACTGTTTAAGATAACTTCCATTGGCATTTTTCTTTTCTTTCTTTTTTATTTTTTAGAAAGAGATTTGTGGTGAGAATTTATTTCTTTACAAGAACTCCACATTTGTAGGTGAAGATGTAGTCAATGTTCATGTGATACTTTTTAAATTTGACTTGGCTATTTTTTTCTTTCTTCTTGTTTAGTTTATTTTTTGTGTTAAATGTAGTAATAGAAAATTTTAAGCATGCAATAGTCTGATTTGGTTTTCATCTCTTTCAGCCACCATCAAAGGTTGAATGAATTGCTCCAATTATTTATTAGCTATTTGATAAAGGTAACAAGAAAAGATAAAGTATGTCTGACGAAGTTTTCAGCACAACTTTGGCATACACCAAGAGTCCAAAAGTTACCAAAAGAACTACTTTCCAGGTAAAATATTTCAAGACATTTTGTATTGATTTTTGTATTATGAATGTGGGACCTTGGTGGTTATAGGAATGGTCCTTTATAAAGCAGGAGTAAGTCTTCTGTTCTTTTTGAAGTTTTGCAGATCATCTATCATGTTTGAGCACCAGTATTACAAATCCTCCTTTGTGACTTTAAGGCCATCAAAATAACCTTAATTGTAGGTTCTTACTAAGTTAAAAGTTAAAATGCAACTTTAAATTGTTATTTTCACATAAAACCTTTTTTTTTTTTTTTTCTATTGTAGTACGAAGTTTTTTCTCCTGGGTCATTACAGTTTTTAACTTAACCTTTAAATTTTCAGTATGGGTTATATATGTTTCTGCAATATGCTTACAAAAAGTACAGTTTGGGGCTGGGGATATAGGTCAGTGGTAGAGTGTGTGCTTAGCATGCACATACTTTCTAAAAACAAAAACAAATAAACAAGAAAAACTCAACAAACCTCCCAAAACAAAACCAAAAAAAAAAGTACCACTTTCTTCCAAAATGGCAGTTTGTAACAAATCCTATATAAATCGAGTCCCCTCTTACCTATTACTATTTAGCTCAAATTATAATCTGCAATTAATTTGTTTGATATTGTGGTCTCCTCCAGTTTAACAGCAGGCACCATGAGGGTGTGCCCTTGGTGATGGTGATTTGCATTGAGTCTCCTCACTCAATTGGGTGCATGGTACAATGTAGGCTTGGAGTTAGTGTACGCTAAATAAATGCAACTTGTTTGAAAGAATTATTATTTGTTTACAAATTAATTCTAGATATTATATTCCATCCTATTTGAATTGGAATTGATTTTAATTATCTCATTTCAGGATGAGCTAATAAGAGCGATTACAGCTCGCTCGGCCAGACAGAGGAGTTCTGAATACTCAGATGACTTTGAGAGCGATGAGATTGGTATGTGAGAGGATGGAAAAGTAAAATATTATTCTGTTTCTTGCTTCATTACTTTTGACCTACTCCCCTCCTCCTAAAAAAAAAAAAAAAAAAAAAAAAAAAAAAAGACTTATGTTAAAATAATGCCATTGACTTCATTAGTTTTAGATTTCCAACTTTTAATGGGTTAGAGATCCAGTCTTAATTTTCAAGAAGTTTTTTGATTGTCCTTGATTGTTTGTGAATGTGTTTTTGAATATGTAAATTAACTGACACCAATAAAATGATGACTAGGGGTAAACTACATGGAAGAGGACAAGTTCTTCCTTAAAGTTAACACTGGGAGGCACAATAGCTAGTTGGTAACTGGGGTCCAGAAAGCTAAATTTTAGTGTACCTCAGAAGCACTTTTATAATGCTAGTTATAAGGTCTTATCAGGTCTTTGGACTATAATAAGGTGTCCTTTTAAAAACGACAGACAATATATTCACATTGTATATATCAATACCATTTTGATTTAATTTGCTGTATTTTAATTAGGTAAAAATATTAGTACTTTAGGCTCCATTCAAATATTAACTCTGTACCCCATATAGAATTCTGAACTTGAAATTCAGTGTTCTACTCTTTGATATATATTCAGTCAATAACTCAATGTTCTCTGTAAAAATAGTAAATCACTGCACTATTTTTAAGTTAGCATTCTTTATTATCTTTGTTTTAGTAAAATCTAATATTTTTGGTACGGATGCAATTGCATTTACAACATTTATGTGGAAAACAATCTAGTTAAACTCTTTTGCTTACAAATATTCTTGATTTTTTATGATGAAATGATTCACAAATGAAGATTTTACTCTCCAAAATGGAATCTGAATGTCCCAAGGCTGATTGTTATTTTTTGGAATCTTTGGATGGCATTTCCCAGAGTAAGTGCAGTACTTGGCACCCTGTGGGCACTCAATAAATACTTTAAATAAATTAATGAAATTGAAAATGTTATTACATAAATTCAAATTCAGGACAGACTAGATTAGCTGTTTTTAAGAGCTGCAAAATAAATTTGCACTTAAACATGGTTATAAATTTACTTCAAACCCTTTCTAGACTTTAAGGTAATCTTTCTTTTAAAAAAAATTAATATGACCTTAAGAGATTTAGAATATACTATTGAAAACATTTTTTCTTGTCTGTTTTCAGTTTCATTGGGTGATTTTTCTGATACCTCCATAGATGAAAATTCCATTAAGAAAAAAATGAATGATTTTCATGTATCAGATGATGAAGAAAATAATTCTCCAAAACTATCTTTTTTGAAAACCAAGAAATCAAACAGTGACATAACCAAAGATGGGCCAGAATTTTCTGTCAAAAACAACGAAGATGTGGCACCTGATGGTTATGAAGACATGGTGGTAAATTCCTCATCAGAATCTCAGCATAAAGATCAAGAAGTTGAAAAAGAGAGAATTAAACTAAAACCTAAACCCAGAATTTTTTCGCTCAAAAGCACATCTTCGGGTACGTTGTTAGATACTACAATTGTATTTCTTGAAAATTTATTTTAAGACAATAATTTCAAAATATCTTTATATGGTAGGTAGTATATAGTTAAAAAAATAAGTCATATTTAATTTACAGTTTTGTACAAATAAGACAACTGAACCACAGAGAAAACTCATAATTCTGATATCCAGTTGTATATTCTGTCTTCAATTTCTTCTGGTGCCTAATAAAAAGCCAAAGCACCTATAGTTATATATAGCTGCAGCTCCCAAAACACATATGCCCATAAGCTTAAATTTTGTTCTTAGGGATGGAAACACAATGGGATGCTTCCTTATTCACTCTATACTCTAAATATTAAAACTGTCATTTCCAGAGCTGAGTCGTCATAACTCAGTGATAGAGTACTTACCTAACATGTACATAGCCCTTGTTTCAATCTCCATCACCACAAAACAATCATTTCTAAACCAATATTTTGCCAGAACAGTTTTTTGGCATTGATATATTTTAAGTGTCACTGCTATTTGTTTATCAAAGTTTCCAGACACTCCTTAAGAAAATAGAATCTCCATTTGATCTTTCGATAGCATTGGAAAATTTACTAAAATTCAGTTTTCTGAAAGGAAATTCTTGGTGTGATCTGGGAATACAAGAGTTCTCCCAAGTATTCTACTGAACTCCAAGCACAGTGGATCAAAGGTGGAACAAAGCTGGAACCCGCCCCTTGAAGTCCTTTGGAAGATGCACAAAAATTTATGGATGCAAGGTTAAGAGTTTGATATCTTTCAGTCTTGTTCCTTTCATTTTATAAAGAAAATTTTAGTTGATGCTAGCCTTAGTAAAAATCTCATCAGTAAATACAGTACTGGTGAACATTTCATACTTTTCATGTTAGATATTACTGATAATATCAGACAAACTTTATTTCAGGCATGCATTAGGGAACTACTTCCTTTTGCCCAGCACACAGAATCCCACTAACTTTGAAAAGAAGGAAAGATGCAAAAAACAAAAACAAAACAAAAAAAACCCTTGAATAATGTCTAAGACACTGAAAAACAAGCCATCATAAATTAGTTATATCTGACTTCAGCAAATAGGTTAAGTCTCACTGTCCTCATAGGGAGGAGGAGAAAACCTGCTCTTCCTGTCCTACAAAATTGTTTTGAGAATCTAATGAATGACTCTCATAGACTGTAATACACTACAAAAGTGTAAACACAAAGCATAATGAAACCATTAACTTACTGACATATTTTCCCAGGGTAATGAGTGAAACTGACAATGGAGAAAGGGAACATACTTGACCTTGGTTATTTAAAAAATATGAGCATTTAGCATCAAAAACAAAATGTTCTGAAACACGTGGAAGAATAAAATTAGAAATGAATGGTAGATAACTAGCAAAATAAAAATTTACCTATCATGTTAAAAAGGTGCAGTGAGTTAAGATGAACAAAGACATATGTATTTTAGCCTCAAGGTGGCAGCATGACTGCAAATGCTCTACTTAGGCATCTGCAATATTATGTTCAGTATATGTAACACAAAAATAGTAGCTTAAGTAGAGAACTTAGATATTTGATTATAAATGTTAAAAAGCATTTGGAAATCTATAGACTTTTTTCTATCTTAGAAATTTCTAGTACTTCTGGAAGAGGAATTTTAGTATAAGATATATTAAAAAGTCATTATTTTCAGGTTTTTTATGTTCAAGAATAAATTTGAAAATTTATTTAGTGTTAAGAAAAGTGTGCTGTATAGAATTCTTTAAGGACCTAAATGAATATATGAATGATTCATTCATGAAAGAAGGACTGTGCTTTATGAGCTTAGCCTTATTCTTCTATAACTTCTTAGACTTGAAATGCTTACAACAGTATTGGAATAAATTAAACATTCTATTATTATTTAGCATCTATCTATAAGCAAATTATTTTACTTATTCATGCATATACAGTGAATATATTATGTCTCATCATACTAAAAGCATTGTGATGGTAAATAAGAATGCAACATTGAAAAGGCTTAGTACCAATCATCTAAGACTACAATTTAGTAGGAAGCATAGAACAAAAAAAATAATAATAATAATAAGTTAGTAATGGTGGTGGTAGGGCAAATCATGGATCCCTACTTTTCACTGACTATGGTGGAGATATGTGTTAATCCACCAATATCACACAGATGGATTCAGGGAGAAACTGTTCCAAAGAACACAGGAGTGATTCACAAACCAAAAGAAAAGAAAAAAAAGGCTAAGAAATGTTTACCACCATTGTTAATGTCACTGAGCACTTGTGATATGTCTGGCACTGTGTTACATACTATATATTCTCTTGCCAAGAACCTATAAGCACTTAGAAAATTTTAACTGATTTGAACAGTGGGAAATCTTCAATGTAGATAGAGGTCAAATAATTTATATGAGGATATATAATAAGTGTCAGAGCCACAACTCAAATAGGAGGTATTTAAACTTGTCAAACTTATAGAAACAGAGTAGATTGGTGGTTGGTTGCCAGGGTCTTGGAGGAGCAGGGAATGGGGAATTGCTATTCAACAGTTTCAGTTATACCAGATGAGTAAGTTCTAGAGATCTGTGTTCAACATTGTGCCTAAAGCTATAGCTAGTACTGTATTACATGCTTAAAAATGTTTAAGAGGGTAGATCTTATGATAACTGTTCTTACCACAATAAAATAAAATGTTGACCTAGTACCTTCTTTTAGGCATTGTCCAATATTCTACTTAATCTGAGGTTCAAAAGATAACAAGTGTTTTTAGGAGGAGAAACACGAAGTGGATGTTTTAGGCAGATGAATCAGCTTAGGAAAAGATTTGGTGACAGGAAAGTTGTGTAACCTGTGTGTTAGTTCACTATCCCAGGAACACAAAATAGAAAATGGGTGTGCCAGCAGACAGGGCAGCAAGGCACTCAGGGACACACCAGGAAAGCCTTTCATTTTATTCAAAGGTTATTGAGTTTTTATTCTATAGGATTAGATAATGGGGAGCCCTTGTAGAATTTTGTGAAGGGAGTGATGGGGTCTGACATTTTATAGATATCCCTGAGGCACTGTCTAGAAAGAGGAGATGAGGAGCTAACTTAGGGATGAAGAGCATAAAATAAAGGAGAGAGATATTTATCAAGTAGAATCAATGGCTGTAGTGATTCTTTGGTTGCAGGCAAAATGGAGAGAGGAATCTAGGAAGATTCTTTGACTTGAGGTTGAACATTTGACCAGAGTTTTAGATATAACTAAAATTGGCAAGGAAGCATTTATAGTGGTACCAGTTTGACAAGATTGTGGAATCCTCTAACAACATTCATAAGCCCTTTGGTAGGTAAAGAAGATGTATGTATTAATTAGCCTAGTTGTAAAGTTTTAGAAGAATACATTGGTAGACTAGTGAAGAAGTATGTGTAATAGGTAAAATTTAGGCAAAAAGTATATAAATGAAGAAAAATCAGTGTTTTGAGGGCTAGAAGCATACCAGCATACTGGTTCTTATTTTAAACTTCAACTTGGGAAAAGCAACTGAGAAATTTCATTCATTTATTTTTTTCATTTGTTTGTCTTTGTGGTGCTGGGGATAGAACCTGTGGCCTCCTGCATGCTCAGTTGTGTGCTCTATCACCAAGCTAAATCCCTTTGGACTCAAAGAATGGTAACTCACTAGTCATGTTTTTTCATTCATTCCTCCAGTGAGAGGGTAAGACTTCTATCCCTTGTGTGCCAGTGTCATCATTTTCATGCTTGTAACAGCACTTACCTTTGTCTTGTCCTTGTGTTTGTCTAAGAAGACCAACAATCCCAGCTACTCAGGAGGCAAAGGCAGAAGGATCCCAAGTTCAAGGTCAGGCTCAATAGCTTAGTAAGACCCAGCCTTAAAATCAAAATAAAAAATAAAGAACTGGAGATTTACTCAGTGGTAGAGTGTCCTTAGGTTCAATGCCCAGTTAAAACAAACAAACAAACAAAAAACCTTTGCTATAAATGATCTCCCTTCCCAACCTGTTAAGTCCTTGGACAGGGCCATTGTCATTTTTATGTTATGAGGATCAATAGTGTGTACATAGCTTGGCTTCAGGTACTTTAAGATTTGATGCATGAACCTCCTCATTTTATTGAGGCAAGGTTTTATGTTTTTTCAAATGTTTTGAATATTATGAGAGTTCATAAAGTTGAAGAGTTAACTTCTCATAAAACTAAAGTATACTGATTACTTTCAATATACTTTAAAGTATACTGATGGCAACATTGTTAAAAATTGGGGGCCATGAATTATTCCTTATCTGGATCTTATTGGAGCTTATGGAGAAGGGTGTGGTCTTCATCTGGACTTTCTAGGACATGGCACTGGAGGGAAGTTTGGTATCTCTGGGGCAGTGGTCAAAGCCAAAGTGTTTTTTGTTGTGTGTTTTTTTTTTCCCCCAATCATCTTAAAACATTTTATTTTTTAGCAGAAAATAGCAGCAGCCTTGAAACAGATGACCATTTTAAGCCTTTACCTCTGCCAAGGAGCTTGTTAAGAAAGAGTAGGCACGTGGAGGAGAAAGAAAGACTAGGAGAAGATAAAGAAACTGCTCTCAGTGAAGACTTCAATTCTGCACCTTCCCTTCCAAGTCTGGATGGCAGACAATTAGAAGCTGAGGAAAAAACATTCTCTGAAAACCTTGATCTTGAGGTTGGCACTACTGCTGAGCTGTTGAATTATTTCTTGAATTCAGGCATTTGCCTCTGATTACTAGAAAAATAGAAAGAGAATGAATTGTGTGCATGCATTTATGTGTATGTATGGGTCTTACATGTTTGCTTCTACAATTGATATGAAAATAATTTTAAGCTTTTTTTTAAATAGACTATATTTCACTGAGTCCAAAACTCCATCAATTATAAGACATACCATTATTTTAAATACCACTAAGAAGGAGCGAGATGCTTCCAATTAAGCCATAATTTGTTTTTTTAAGATTCTACCCATTTCAGAGAAAGTAATGTGTTAAAATAATTTTGATCTAATGAGTCTACATAATAGTGTATATAATACTGTATATCTCTAATAATAATACTGATATATATATATATATATATATGTATATGGATATATATATATGTATATATATATATATATGGATATATATATATATATATATATATATATATACATATACATATACATATTGAATTATACAATTTATGGCTAAGGACAATATTAGTGTCATTTTATGCATTTGGTTTTATTCATACAACAAAGTACTGAATGTTCATGACACTGCTTTATATTCTTTGGGATATGCCAAAGTGAAGTTCAGATATGACTCTTTGAGTTTCCAGGAGGAAGTCTGCTATGCAGCATTATTAAGGGAGAACATTTGTCCCTTCCTTTTATATTTCACTATAATAAGTGAACTTCTTCCTTACATTTTGAAGGAGAAAGTATGGGAAAAACATTCGTCCTCCATAATCTGTGTGTGGACAGATCAGGGAAAAAGAACTAGACATTACCTGATCAATCTTACCTCTTTTTCTTATCACTTACCTGCCATCTAAGTGTGTAAGGATGCACTCTCTGGGAGTGGTGCAAGAGGAATCAAGTCAGGATACTGATTCAAATTTTGCTCAGCATTTCTGTGCTGTTTCTTAATTTGTTCTAAAAAATCAAGAGAAGAAATCCAAATAAGTATTTTGTATTTAATTATCTGATCAATTGAAAATTGTATTCATTTCTTATGACCATATAACAAATGGCCACAAGCTGAAAGATTTAAAACAACATAAATTTACTCCCTTAGTTCTGAAAGCCAAAAGTCCTAAATCAAGACCCAAATCAGCAAGACCCTGTCCCTTCAAATGGCTTTAGGAAATCCTAAAATTTTCCAGAAATCCTTGGCATTTCCTAATTTACAGCTTTATCACTCTGATCATTGCCTGCATCACCACATGACCTCCCTGTTTCCTTTGTGCCTCTGTTTCTCCCTATTTTCCTAAAAAAGATACCATCAGACATTGGGGATCTAATTCAATGGCTCATCCTAACTACATGCAAGTACCTTATTTCCTCTTAAGGACTTCTGGATGACCTGTATTTTGGGGGCACATCATTTAAACAGATACATACCTAACTTTAAGTGATATTTTTAAACATTTTTATGTCTCTTTTTGATTAATAAAAAGATTGCTAAAATTATTAAAGTTACATTATACTGTGAGAAAAAAAAATTAGCAGAAAATATCCAACTATAATCCCATCACATAATAGCAATGAAGTTTACTATTCTTACCCCCTTTAAAGCTATTCTCCCACATTTTTGTCACTAATGTGTCATCTTAGTCTGCATCATGTTTTGTGTTGTGCTTTTTCTATGTCTCTTAGCATTAGGTTATGAAGCGTTTCCATGTTGCTGGGGATTTTAAGACCACATGCACCTTAATGTCTGTAACATAGCCATAATTTACAACTGTTATCTTATTGCTAGATACTTCTATATTTAACACTTTAAATGTTTCGTATTTTGCAATATGAAAGTCTTCCTGACTGTGCTGTAAGCCCACTATCTCAGGGATTTCCCATCTAATTTTTCTTTTTTTCCCCTATGTATAACAACTTCTGGCTCCTCATGATCTATTCCATCTACATTGAGTCATGCTCTAACTTCTTTATCTTTGTATAAACACTCAATTGAAACTGCACCCTTCCTTCTGCCTTACAGTCAGTAACAAAATACCTGAGATAATCAACTTAAAAGGAGGGAAGATTCAAGAGTTTGGGGAATTTAGTCCTTGGTTTCTTGGTGGGGTTGCTTTGGGCTTGTGGCAATGAAGCGCATCGTGGTGGAAGTGCATTGTAGAGATCTGTTCACCTCATGGCATCTGGGAAATAGAGAGAAAGTGGAAGGGCCAGGGTCCCAGTATCCCCTTTAAGCATACACCATGAATGATCCAGCTTTCTCCTGCGAGACTACCTCCAAACGCTTCCACCACCTCCCCATAGTACATGGGCTGTGAACCAGAATCTTAACATATGGGCCTTTGCGGAACGTTGAAGATCCCAGCTATAGCATAATCCCGCAGATGTCACAATCAGATATTCCAAGGGTGAGCTGTACAGGCTTCCTCACTACATCCTTACTTCCTACCTTTTCTCTGTGTGTTTGCGTGGGAATGATTGAGGATCATTTTTTAAAATGACCTAGCATCCTAGAATCAACTCTGTTGATCAATGCACAGTATTTTATTATGGGATTTAATTTGTTAACATTTTATTAAGGTTTTTACATAAATATTTATGAAGTCTGTTGATCTATATATTTTTTTCTTATAAGGTTATTATCAGACTTGTGTGTCAGATGAGTTAGGCAATAAATATTCACCCTTTATTTTCTAAATTTGGTAAGAATCCTTGAGGAAAAAGATTCACCAGTTAAATGATCTGGGCATAGAAATTTCTTTGCATTAAATTTTATTTTTTATAGATATATTGGTATTGAGATTTTTCATCAGTTTGATAATTTTTTAAAAAATAAATTTGTCTATTTCACCTGACATGTCAAATCTATAAACATGCTTTTTCTTGATAGTAGTCCCCTATCATTTTTAGGATCAGGGGTCATCATATCATTTCATCTTTTATTTCTGACATATTTAATTTATGATTTTTATCTTTCTTTTTCAATGTTGGTAGGCATTGTTTAGCTTTATGAAACTTTTCAAAGAACCAATTTTGGCTTTGTTAATTTTCTCTATAGTTTGTTTTCAGTTGGGCTAATTGTCAATTTTTATTTCTTCTCTTTATTTTCTTCAATTTGTTTAATTTGTTTAAGCACAGGCTGATTTGTTTAAGTTTGAAAGTTTTCTCCTTGATTTTTAAGTCTTGAGTCCTCTGTTGAAAACCACTGAAAGCTATACATTTTTTTTTCTATACTGCTGAACATCTTACTTTTTCAATGTCCTTTCTTTCCATCATGATTTTCTTTAACCTATTGGTTATTTTGTGATGAATCATCATTTTTCCCAAATATTTGGGTCTTCTCTAGATTTACTGTGGTCCAAAGAATATATCTTATATGATTTCAGATTGTTAAGAGTTGGTAATGGCCCAGCCTAAGTGTATCCTGTGTTAAGTTCCATTTGTATTAGCAAAGTACACTTGTTTTTCAGGTATAGGATATAATGTTTTAGAATTTCAGTTTGGTTAAGGTGGTTGGTAGTATCACTCAGATCTTCTCTATCCTTACTGATTACTTTAAGTGAATGTCTTATAATAACAGTTTGAGTCACATTTTTTTTTAAATCAAATCTGAGAATCTATGCATTTTAATTCTGATGTTGTGTCAATTTATGAGTGTTTTCTCCATTTACCATAAACACTGATGCAGTTGGATTTAAGACCAGTTTATTACTGTTTTTTTTTCTCTTTGCTTTGTTATATTATTCGTCTGTTACTCCCTTCTGCCATTTATTTGTGTTTTTATTTTCCATTTATTTATTTATATATTTATTTATTATACTGGGAATTGAACCCACCATGATATATTCCTGGCCCTTTTGTATTTTCGACAGGGCCTCACTAAATTGCTGGGGCTGGTCTTGAACTTCAGTTCCTGAGTCACTGGGATCACAGGAGCATATGGTCAGCTCTGTTGAACTTTAAACTGTCCCTGTTTGCACTATGGAGTTGATTCTGTATTTCACATTCCATACAGAAGCCTCGCAACAGTTCAGTTCCTTGTAGTGCCTCGTCCATTGTGCTGCTTTTGGCATGGATACTACGTCTACATGACACAATTCCCACAATGTCATGTTATAATTTTCACTAATGAGGCTTTTAAACTTTGTGTCTTAGATTTTCAAAGAATTAAAAGAAGAAAAGAATGAATATTTATAATTTTCTTTTATATAGTGATTCTGAGGCTCTTCTTCCTTCCTATATATCCAGATTATCACTTCATGTTATTTCCATTTAATGTTTTGTTTTTTTTTTTTTCTTGAAGGGCAGATTGGTCAGTGATAGGTTTTCTCAGCCTGTGCCTACCTTGAAAGTGCTTATTTTATCTTTATTTTTGAAGGATGAATTAGTTGAACATTTTGACTGATAGTTCCTTTCTTTGACCCCTACCTCTTTAGCAGTTTCTATTGTTCCTGGCCCTTCCTGTATCTGTTGAGAAATCAGCAGTCACTCATTTTATTATACTCCTATACAAAATATAGGAGTTTCTACCTGTTTTCAGTATTATTTTCTACCTGTTTTCAGTATTATTTTCTTTCAAGATTTATCTTTTTTTTTTTTTTTAATTACAACAGTTTGATTATAAATAAGCACGTAAGTCTGGTTTCTTTATATTTTCTGTGTGGAGTTAGTTGAGCTTTTAGGACCTACAAGCTAATACCTGCCATGATGGGAAGTTGTTTTTTGTTTTGTTTTTCCTTCTTTTTAAAATTTTGCTACATTATTTTCCTTTTCTTTCCTTTTGGGGCTACAATTGTATATGCATACGTTGAAATTTTTTGATGAATCTCCCTGATCTCAGAAGTTGTATGTGTCTTTAATCTTTTTTCTGTTTCTTTAATCTTTTTTTCCACTTGTTTACATTTCTCCAGGTTCACTGATCTATTCTTCCATCTCTGATCTGCTATTAAGTCTCTCCAGTTAATTTTTATTTCAGTTATTACAGAGTTTAACTCTAGAGTTTTCATTGGTATTTTTGTATTTTCTACATCTCTGTGATCCCCATCTGTTCAGTGTCATGCATACATTTTCCTTAAAGTGCTTGAACAATCTTATAATAACTACTTTAAAGTCTTTGATAATTTCAACAACCAGGTTATCTCAAGATTGGTTTCTTTTTACTACTGTTTTTTTCTTTGTCTTTTTTTCTTTTCTTTTTTTGCCTTCATGAGTCTATGTTGTTGTCTTTGTTTCTTCATCTGCTTAGTGACTTTTAATAAAATACAGGATATTATGAATGATGTGTTGTAGAGATTCTAGAGTGCGTTGTGTGCCTGTGAGCATATATTCTGGTAAGTAGATTTTGTGTCTAGATACAAGTTTTCACTTCTTGCTCCCTTGCAGTAGATATCAGTAGGAATTCCTGCTCAGTTCTTCCAGTTTCTAGCCTCTGTGGTTTCGTAAGATCTTCTGAGGTCTTCTTTATGCCATGTACAGATGAGCCAAAGGTTTTAGAAGAATTCTGCATATTCCAAGGCTACTTCTTCCTCAAATGTATTGACTCTTCTGGGCTCTCAAGCCAGTCTACTAAGTCTGTAGCCTTCTACCACTTGAACTCTACAGCTTGAGATATACCATAAATCCTAAAGCTACAAATGTGCAAATCTCTTCAAGTGTAACTTTGTCTTTCAAGGTAGACTCCAGTGACTCAGCCCTTCTGACATTTTCCCAAATGTTTCCTTCTCATTGCTTTTGATATATAATTTCCTATGTGTTCATAAAATATTGAAGGAAAGAATATTGCTATTTATGCAACAAAAATAAAATTCTTACATTATAATATCATCACCTTTAGGCTAGTTTATTCTGTAGAGAATTGGGGTTTTTTGGACACAATACAATGATTTCTTTTCAGATTTTGAGTAAAGTTCATGTGCTTGAAATTTATGTACATTTTTCACCTGTAATATTTGGAAGTAGCTGTCTACTTGGTTTTATAGGTTGCTTTCATTTGGACTACTAGTAATAATTGTTTGAAACTAAAATTTATCAGGCACGATGGCACACATCTGTAATCCTAGCAGCCTGGGAGACTGAGACAGGAGGATCATGAGTTCAAAGCCAGCCTCAGCAACTTAGCAAGGGCCTAAACAACAACAGCAAAAAGGCTCAGTGGTTGAGGCCCATGGGTTCAATCTCAAGTAACCCCCCCCAAAAACAAAAATGAAGAAGAAGAAACTAAAGATTTTTCTTCTGTCTTGATACTGTCCTTGAAAAAGAAAATTGGAGAAAGAGACATCAGGATCAAATCTTTACCTTAAAAATACATAATAGATTTGATTTTAGAAGAGCAGGAGTTTTAAAAATTGCTAAAAATAAATTTAGACATAACATTTTGATACAGAGCTAGAATGACTCTTTTAGTGACCCCTTTTACTGACCCAAACACCAAGGGAAGCATTTTTACCTCTAGTGGCTTATGATTTTTTATGTAATTTTTAAATTTATATATGACAATTCTTATTACATATGTAGAGCACAATTTTTCATATCTCTGGTTGTACACATAGTATATTCACACCAATTTGTGTCTTCATACATGTACTTTGGATAGTAATGATCATCACATTCTACCATCATTAATAACCTCATGCCCTCTCCCCCTCCAACCCCTCTGCCCTACCTAGAGTTCGTCTATTCCTCCCATGCTCCCGCTCCATGTCCCACTATGAAGGCTTAATGCTTTTTGAGGTTTCAGCAGCAAACTTCTAATAATTCAGATTCCAAAGTTATAGGATGGTTTTAATAATGCTATGATGTCCATAAATACTCGTTAAATGCATTTTTTATTAAACAGGATCCATTGTTATCAAGTTTATCATCATCAGCTCTTAAAGAAAGTCTTGGAAATTCTTTTTCACTGGCACCTGAGGGAAAAGCATCTATAGAAGGTAATTACATTCTAACTAATGTGTATTATTTATGAACTCTGTGTTGTTTAGGACACTGTAAGAAAAATAATACTTTTCACGGTTACAGGGAAAATATATATTTGTGTTTCCCTGGTTTTTCAATCCTGACTGCATAGTTGACTGTATGACTTTAAGTGCAGAAGTAATCACTCTGCCTCAGTTTCCCCAAATCTTGCCTGTCTCAAAAGACTATTGTGGGGCTGGGGTTGTGGCTCAGTGGTAGAGCGCCCCTCTAGCACAGGTGAGGTGCTGGGTTCAAGCCTCAGCACCACATTTAAAAAATAATAATAATTAATTAAAGATATTTAAAAAAAGACTATTGTGAAAATTAAATGATAGAGTACAATTTAGCCACTGGCACTGGCTACTTCTAGGCACAAATGGAACGATCACTTAAAGTGAATTATTATACTATGCACATTGCTGCAATGATCTATATAGTATACATAATGGCTAGGTGGACTTCCGAGGTTTAACCTTGGTTTGAATCTAGCACTTCTACATGAGCAAAGTAACAAGCCTCTCTGACTTTGTATAATGTTTTTTTAAAATGTGGATAATAATAATATCTACCTTATAGGGTGGTTGTGAAGTGTAAGTAATAATAATAATAATACATGTAAAACCTTGAACAGTACCATAGTAAGCACGTAGTAAATGTGAGGTGTAAGTTGTGAATGTGGTTTGTTTTCTTAGGGCTTAATGAGAGCTAAAAGTCACAGCTGTTTCTAGGACTGGGAGGCATAACTAACATTTATTAGGTGCTTACTATGTAGTATAATTTTTGTCATTTTACAGAGGAGAGAAACTGAGGTGCAGACATTGGGAAACATAGCCAAGGTCAGTGCTGGAGCCAGAGGTGGAATCTTTGGCTCCAAAGTTCTTGTTTGTTTCTCCAAAGAACCTAGTAATGAATTGAATCATATGCGCTTTTCATGTGAATATATGACTGTAATTATAATGGGATTTTAAAACCCATTTACCTCTAAATAAGTTCAAAGGGGAAAAAAGGCCATAATGAAAGCCCTAGAATTAAGACTTCTAATGATGAAAATACAGTTTGGGCCTGGTAGAAATGAAAGTTATTGATCCCTACAGAGAACACTGATTTCTTTCTGTCAAGCACCCTGAAATGTGGTAGAATCTGAATAAAAGACACAATTCTATAAAAGAACAACCAAGTCCCCTCCTGACATCCCCCTGAACCTGTCCCTGGGAGTACTGAGGGGATAAGAAATAGATCTGCCTTTGGTGCCCTTGGGTATGGGACGGCGCACTGCAGCACCGCATCCTGGTGGGCCTGAACCTAACTGGACTGGCTTTATTCGCTGCATAAAATTACATTCACTCTTGGTTCTCTCTGCATGTATACAGCTCATCTGTGATGCTAGTAACTGCAGTGGCATGCAGATATGTGCCTCCTGTTTTCACAGTTTGTTGTTCCAGCCAAGAGCACACAGGCTTTAGAACTGAACAGATGTTGCCATCTCAGTTACTTGGTTTATATATCAACTAGTTCTTTTGATGTGTGTTGTTTTGGGGTAGTGATTCCATTATAATTATGACTATGCTGTTTATGCAGAGTATTTAGTTTTGTTAAGTGTTTCATTAGATGAAGAGTAGCCATTTTTCTTTCGTAGAACACTTTGGGGGAAAATATCATTATGATCATTTTTTTCATATTTTATGTTGCAAGAAAAAAGAGTACATAGGACTGGGGATGTGGCTCAATGGTAGAGCACCTGCCTAGCATGCTTCAGGCCTGAGTTCAATCCCCTGCACCACAAAATTAAAAAATAAAAAAAAGGAAAAAAGAGGTTATATACAATCTTCATTTAAAGGAATGTATAGCATCTGCTTATCTACTTTTAATTGAGGAGAAGGTTTTAGTGCTGTTATTCCTTCTCAAAATAGATCAGAATGGAGAATTTCCTGAAAACCATAATTCCTTGAAATTAAATGAAAATGAAGAAAATTCAGATATGATAAACTGTGTCACTGCTGAACTTGAGAAACCCCAGGAAATTCAAGTGCCTGCTGACAGCCTTGAAGAAGAAAAGGAAAAGGCTGAACTGGTGACAGATGGTGACTCGACAATGGATCCCTTGCTATTTCAGTCTCATACCAACGCAACAGAATCTGCAAAGGTATTTCTACAAACTTATCTCTTTTGTACTACAGCTTGAAACTTGAAAAAGGGCTTGAAAGTGTTGTGTCTTCTGTGTTGTGTTCTATACTTCTGTATTACTTGTGGGAAACTCATCTTTTGATAGCAACATGATGTTGTCAAATGCTTCCCACTTAATTCAGTAGAACTTTATCTTCAAGAAAGATTTTCAGTTAGTATAATGAAACCCAGTGTTCCGTTAAAAATCACCAGTGGTATGCTCCTAATGTACTTTATAGTATCTCAGAAATACCTATAACTGTATATGTTTCTATAAGTCTTCCCATTATAAAAAATGTAGCTGTCTGGAACAATTTTTGAGATTTTTGAGATAGTGAAAGCTTTTATAAATATCATTTGAAAACATTTTAACTATTTTCCTGAAAATCAAGAAATGCTTAATAGATTATCATGAGGAACATTATTATTAAAATCTTGAGAAACAGATTTATGGCACACAGAATTATGAGGAACATTATTATTAAAGTTATCATGAGGAACATTATTATTAAAATCTTGAGAAACAGATTTATGGCACACAGAATTACTTGTTCCTACAATTAATTGTACCAAAGTACTACTTTTAAAATGAATAGTATAGCATTTTTACTCTTTATTTCTCCTGAGTTTAGTGTTTATCTCTTATTACTGCAGTTTGCTAGCAGCAATGCTTACGTTACCAGGGGAGGAAAGTAGTTCTGGCAGAACACTAGTGACTGAACAGGACTTTCATAATATATAGGGTTTTTAAAAATTAAATGTATGGGAAAGGATCTTAAGTCACGTTCCAAGTATATTATCCTTAGCTGCCTTCCCTAGAAAAAAACTACTGCGAGTTAGAAATGTATTCATATCCATGTTCTTATTTTACTGCTAGCACCCACCTACCCATCTGTGTAAATAGAAAATTTTTTTTTTCTTAAAAGAAAGGATAGTCTTAGCTGGGCACAGTGGCATACTTGTATAATCCCAGTGACTCAGTAGGCTGAGGCAGGAGGATTACTAGTTCAAACCCAGCCTCAGCAATTTAGTGAGTTCCTGAGCAACTCAGTGAGATCCTATCTCCCTCTCTCTAATAAAATATTAAAAAAAAAAAAAAAAAAAGAGCTGGAGACATGGCTTGGTGGTTAAGCACCCCTGGGTTCAATCCCTCATACCAAAAACCAAAAGAGATAGTCTTAGCCAGGTGCAATGGGGGTATACTTGTAAACTCAGCTACTAGAGAGGCTGAGTCTAGAGAACTGCAAGTTTGAGGCCAGCCTCAGTGATTTAGCAAGGTCTTAAGCAACTTAGTAAGAACCTATCTCAAAATAAAAAGGGCAATGGATGTGACCCAGTGGTAAAATACCTCTGGGTTGAATCCCTAGTATCAAAAACTAAAAAAAAAAAAAATTAAATAGTGTACATCTTATAGGTGGAGCCCTTGAAATGCCTAATAGAAGCAATTATAAATTAGAATAAGCAACTTACATGCTTATTAGAATAAGTAACAAGTAAGATTATAACATTTTTTTTGGCTAGACTCTTGGCTTTATTCTCAGTCTCTACTAAGTGAACTTTCTTAGGTTTGAGTCTAATCACCCCCTTGTTAAAGTATCTTTGTTGGATCCTCATCATGAGAATTAAACCCAAACTCCTCACCACCACCTAATGATTTCACGTGAGTCTTCTCTGACCACGTGTTCCTCCACTCCCCCCACCATTCCCCAGGCTTCAGTACCACTGACTTCTTGTGTTTTTCAAAAATCACTCTGGGGCTCTAAGCACTTCTCCTTTCATCCCACAGATCATCACGTGAGCCCTTTCCTCATCAGTTTCTGATCAGCCTTACAGCAGCCTCTCAGCCCCTTTCTAGTCACTGTGTAGTTGTCCCACTTTCACCTCCTTCGTGAGTCACATTTGTTTATGATTATGGCCAGTCACTCTTCTCTGAAAGTTAGTATCCCTGAAGGCCTTTCATTCACAGCTTTGTACCCAATACCTTCTGTGCTTGACACATGCTAGATGCATAAAAAATATTGCTTTACTAACAGTTTCATCTCTAATCCTAACTGTGATTGTTCTGGTGAATAATCCATCTATGGATTATTAAAATGATTAAATCTTCTATTTAACAGAAGGTGATCGAAGATAAAAATATGAAGAATAAAAAGTCCACAAACAACAGAGCATCCAGTGCAGGTGGCAGGTAATTAAGTCATCAACATACCTCATTCTTGGGTTTTCATTCCAGCAAGACTCATTTAAATTTAAATTTTATAAGGTAAATTTGATTTGGCATTGTGGATTTTCTCTTAATTTTTTTCACCTCTCAGATGACTGGAATAGATACTTCATTATTAATCCCTACAGTGGATTATATTCTTTTATAGCAAATAATAAAAATAATAAAATGTTTACATCTATTCCTGATTGTTTGAAAGCCTGGAATATACATAATACATTCATTCTCCAGTATCTTCCCTCAAAGGACATTTTTCTTCTTCCTTAATGTCATTGCATGGCTCTTAGAATAGAGCTTCTTCTGTTTTTGCTGAGATATTAGATATAAAGTGATAGTAAAGCTGAAGTCCAGCATTATTCTTCTCTATCAGTATCTTTGTCTAACACATAAAAAATTGTACCTAAAGTCTCTGGGTTTTATGGACTAACTGGGTTTTATGGACTACAGTGACAAGAATTGATACAGGTTCATATGTATTGCTGCTGATGACTATTGCTAACTTCTCTGTGCTAATCAAAACCTTCTGCATCTTTTATTCAGATTATGATTATAATTAGTCAAGTAGAGCAGGGCCAGCCAACTTAGGTACATGGCTAGTACGTACTTTTTTTAGACACTGTAGGCAGTTCAGTCCCTGTTGTTAACTGCTCAGTTCTGCCCCGTAGCAGGAAAGCAGGACTTGCCCATACATAAATGCAGGAACAGATCTGTGGTGCATTCAGCTTTATCTATCAAGCCACAGGTTGCCCAGGTTGTCTCCTAACCCCTGACAGAGGGTACTATATTTTCTAACTTTATATTTAGAATGGTTTATGTAACAGAAAGTATTATAAGAAAATGTTAAAAAGTGCTTAAAACCCACTTTGTTAATATTATTTTCTCTGTATAACTTGAGATATGACCCATTTTTTAAAATCTTTTAGTTGTAGATGGACACAATATCTTTATTTTATTTATTTATTTTTATGTGGTGCTGAGGATCCAACCCAGTGCCTCACAAGGGCAAGGCAAGAGCTCTACCACTGAGCCACAGCCCTAGCCCCCGTGTTTTTTTGTTTGTTTGTTTGTGTTTTTTGTTTTTTAAGAGAGAGAGTGAGAAAGAGAGAGAGAATTTTTTTAATACTTATTTTTTAGTTTCGGTGGACACAGCATTTTATTTTTATGTGGTGCTGAGGATCGAACCCAGCGACCCGTGCATGCCAGGCGAGCGCGCTACTGCTTGAGCCACATGCCCAGCACCCCCACCCCGTATTTTTTTGAAAGGTTTTAATTGTAAACACCTAAAAAGTACAGCTTAAAATGATATCACTTAAAGTTATAAAGTTTAAGTTAGATTGAATAGCACTCTTCGTACACTAAGAAAGAAACTACTTTTTAGCTATATCATTATGAAAGTAATTATAACGTATTAAATAAATTACAATAGTTTTGAAATATAGATGCATGTATTCTAATAGATCTCTCTTCTATCAATTGCAATTGAAATACTTTATCTTGGTTCATTTGAAATTTTTCAGATTAATGACCTCTGAGTTTTTAAAGAAATCCAGTTCTATAAGGAGAAGTCCATCAGCAACTACCTCTTCTCACTATCTGGGGACTTTGAAAGTCTTGGACCAAAAGCAGAGTTTAGAACCTGACAAAGCAGATCACATAAGGGCAGCTGTTTATCAGGTAAAAAGAATTAATAATTTCCATATCAAAGAATGAAAAGACTTTACCAGAAATTTTGATGCTTTGGTGGTGGTGGTGTTGTTCTTGTTTCGGTCTTATAATTTTTTATTTGTTTTGTGTGCTTGAGGTTGAACACAGGGCCTCACAAATGCTTATCATGCCCTCTACCACTGAGCTGCACTCCCAGCCCCAAAAAAGTATGGTTTGATACTTAATTTGGGGCGGAGGAAAGTTTCCTTTAAAATACTTAAGCAAACCAAAGCTAGTTTACTCAATTATTAGCTTCTGTGCTTTTTTTTTTTTTTTTTTAAGATGATTCTAAGAGGAGAAACCATAATAATTTATAGAAATATAACAAAAGCCAAAATATTATAAGATATATGTTTTATCCTTTCTCATCCTAAAATTTTATATTGTTTATGAACAAAAGTAGTTCCTAAAGTTTTCTCTTCAGAAACATTGTTAATTTACACAGAAAAAAGATTTTCTCAATTTTTTTCAGTTTCAGTAAGAGTCACTTTTTTTTTGTTATATAGAAGAGTATACTTTATGAAATGGTACAAGTAATTTTGGGGAAAAATTTTGATATATTTGGCCACTATATTAAATATTTGAAGACAATATTATTAGTAGTAATTTTCTTGAATATCCTCAAGTTTTATTAGGAAAAAGAAAAATGATACCAGTTTAAAATTTATGAACTTTATGTTTTGCTTTTTAAAGCTTTGTCAAGTATTTTGAATATAGTTAAGATTTCTAATTCATTTGGTATACTTTGAATAGCATAGAACCTTTTCTTTATTCTAACAGGAGTGGTTGGAAAAGAAAAATGTATATCTTCATGAAATGCACAGAATAAAAAGGATTGAAAGTGAAAACTTAAGAATCCAAAATGAACAGGTATTTGTGAAATAAAGAAGTTGAAAATGTTCTGGACTGTTATGTCAGTAAAGTATCTGTGAATGTTTAACATTTCTAAATCAAATGTTTTTTAAATGTTGAAATAAGTTGTATATAAAAGACTTGATTTCTGATTTTATTTCTCTGGTACTTTATATAATTTTAGTTGGTCATAAATAGAACTTTTTATATACAGACACATTTTTATTTTATTTATTATGCATAGGATAGATATGGCATAACTAATTTTGAACTTCTGTTTGTAACCATCTAATTCACTCTTAAAAATTGACATCAGTTAGCCAAGAATACAAAGGGTCTTCAGACATCTATCTTTAGTTTTCCTCTTTTCGCTCTTGAGTTTTAGGTGTGTCTTCAAGACTATACCTGAGTTCTATACCACGTTCCATCCCATGGACCCAAACTGGACTCTTGTTCCAGTCCCTCCTGAACTTTCAATCTCTTCCTCTCACTCTTGCCTAATAGGCCACAATGGTCAGCTCTTTCCTGTCTTCTAAAGTAAAAACTCTGAAAAACCCCTTCATTGTCTGCTCAGTACTAAAACTGATTGAGAGAGACGTTTTCAAATTGAACAGCACTATGACAAATCCGTCTGTATGAGCAGACCTCTGTCGCTATGCTGTGTACCTGTCCCCACACTGGTAGCATTACACGGCTGTGGGCAGTGCTGTAGCCCTTCACACTGTAGCTGCACAGTACTTTACTTCTCAGTTGAGTTTCCTCCATGATAAGGTTTTATGTCATTTAATGATAATATTCTAAGTCAATTATTGGATATTATGTGATAATATCCTTGATGTACATCACATGCATATTTTCCAGTCTGACATATTTTCAACATTTAGAATGTTAGTGGGGTAACAACTTTATGCCTTGATATCATTCAAACCAAAAATCTGTTCTTACTATATGACTTGGCCTATTTACCTTACCCTTATTGTATAAGCCTATAATTTTCCAGAATTTTTTGACTGAAAAAATATAATATAATTTTTATAATACCCCTTAACCTATTAGAGTTTATTTTGATAGCACTTATTTTGTGCATTTCCAGAAATAATAATTTTCCTGCTTCTGACTAATATTAAGTCAGTATCTGAGAAATGTTTTTAGAAAAAGGATGTTTTCAGTCCTTTTTTTTTTTATTTTTATTTTTTTTAATTTTGAGACAGGGTCTCATTAAGTTGCTGAGGCTGGTCTTATATCTTCAGTTCTCTCACCTCAACCTCCCAGGTTAACTGGGATTATAGGTGTGTGCCACCACTCCTGGCTTGGATATTTTTTGAAATAAATTGTCTAAACCATTCTAAATAAATTATCTGCTTTGGAACTTAATATCTTTATGTGATGATTCTGGGAATTAAAGTGAAATATACATATATTTGTATATAAATATACGTTAAAATTTGTGTGTCTACTCCTACATTACCTGTATACCTATTATTTTTTCCAAAATAGAAAAAAGCTGCCAAGAGAGAAGAAGCATTAGCATCATTTGAGGCCTGGAAGGCCATGAAAGAAAAGGAGGCCAAGAAAATAGCTGCCAAAAAGAGGCTTGAGGAGAAAAACAAGAAGAAAACTGAGGAAGAAAATGCTGTGAGGAAAGGAGAAGCCCTACAGGTATTCACAAGCTTTAAACATCTTACTTAGTTATTTTTAAATATATGAAACCAAAATCAACGCTTCACCATATTTTTGCTTATTTTATAATATTCACAGTAAGAAATTCATTCTGATCTTTTTTCAGGCTTTTGAAAAATGGAAAGAGAAAAAAATGGAATATCTTAAAGAGAAAACTAAAAAGGAGAAAGAATATGAAAGAGCAAAGAAACAGAAAGAAGAGGAAACTGTTGCTGAGAAAAAGAAAGATAATTTAACTGCTGTTGAAAAATGGTAATCCAAAATTAAAAAAAAAATCTTCTGATAGATTTAATAACAGTTGAGGCTTTTCTAAAATTTATTTACTTGATATTTTAGTGAGCTTTTTTTGCTTCAGTGACCAAAAAGACCTGACAAGAACAATTAATGGAGGAAAAGTTTATTTTGGGTCTCATGGTTTCAGGGTCTTAGTCCGTAGATGTCCGACTCCCTTCTTTGAAGCCCAAGGTGAGGCAGAACACCATGGGAGAAGAGTGTGGTAGAAGAAGCAGGAAGTGGCCGCCAAGAAACACCAAGAAAAAAAGAGCTCTCCTCACCAGGGACAAAATAGAAAACCCCAGAGGCACACCCACAATGACCCACCTCCTCTAGCCACACCCTATCTGCCTACAGTTACTAACAGTTAATCCCTGTCACAGGGGTTAATTCTCTGATTAAATTAAGGCTCCCCAACCCATCATTTCACCTCTAAACTTGTTTGCATTATCTCACACCTGAGCTTTTGGGGGACACCACCCATCTAAACCGGAGCTCTTGGTATGTACTAATGCCTCTCAATCTCATTCTTTGCCAGGGCTGTTTTAGGGAATCTTTATTATCTATTCTCCTTTAACTTCCGGTGTCTTATATCATCCTACATAGGAATGAAAAAAAGGAAGCTTTTTTCAAGCAAAAGGAAAAAGAGAAAATAAATGAGAAAAGGAAGGAAGAACTGAAAAGAGCTGAGAAAAAAGATAAAGATAAACAAGCTATCAATGAATATGAAAAATGGCTGGTAGGTATTTGCTAAACCACTGGTGTTTTTTAAATGCCCTTTTGTGCCTTTTCTCTTCCTAAATCCCTGTACCCCACACCTATTGACTGTTTCTCCTGGAACTGCCTTGTTGACTCCATTCTCTCCTTCTGTACATATCATATCTTCTTCTATTTATCATTTCTGTTAATGCTTTGACTGCTCCCTCAAGCTCCCAGGCTGAAACTCCAGTTACACTTTCCTCCATCACTGCATTCCCACATTCAGCCTTTTACTAGTCACCTCCATTCTTCCTTGCTGTAGTTCTTGCATCTGACACCAATATTATAAGTGCATCTAACATACCAAGTACTTTCAGGTTATTTTAGGTTAAAATTGATTATGACACATAATAACACTAATGGGTGAGGAAGTTATTCCATTTTTTATTCTTTTTGTTTATTTATTTTTATTTCTGATAATGTCAAGAAGAAAGTCTTATTTGTTTTTAAATGAAAGACAGTAAGTTTGAGGTTTAGAAGGAATAGTATCTAGCTGGATTTTAATATAGTTGGTTTCAACTTACTTTCTGTTATGAAAGTTGCTTTTTGTTGATATCAGACTAAATACAGTTTTTTTTATTTTAAAATGCAAAAGATTATTTTATTAATCAATTTTAATAGATAATGATTTTAATAGACAATGTATTCCCATGGATAGTACTTACTGAATGAAGGAAACACATTTTTACGAACAGTTACACATTCACCTGATTTGTCAGTAAAAAATTTAAAATTCTCCACATTCTATCTAGTAGAATTTCAATGATACTCTTTTTGTTTGTTTAGGGGTTTTTGCTACTGGGGTGCAGGGGGTGTACTAGGGAGTGAGTCCAGGGGCATTTGACCACTGAGCCACATCCAACAGCCCTTTTTTTGTATTTTATGTAGAGACTGGGCCTTATTAAGTAGCTGAGGCTGGCTTTGAACTCTGGAATCCTCCTTCCTCAGCTTCCCAAGCCACTGGGATTATAAGGGTGTGCCACCATACCTGGCTATTATACGCTTTTCAAATTCTCATCTGCTAGTTGAGAAATGTCACCATGGGTCTTTTTTATTTGTATTTCTCTCATTAAACTTGAACATGTTTTCATTTATAGAAGGGTCACTTTTATATTTTTCTTCTGTAAACCATCACTTCATGGACAGTCATATTTCTGTTGGATTTTTGGTCTTTTTCTTATTGATTTGTAGAAGCTTTTATATGTATTAGGGAAATTAGCTAATCATTTCTGATATAAAATGCAAATATTTTTCCCACTCTATTGTTGGCTTCCCAACTTTCCTTATAGTATTTTTAAGCCACAAAGAATTTAAGTTTATATTTAGGTCTCAGATTTATCAATTTTTTTTCCTTTGACTTCTGGATTTTAAGCATAGTTGAAAACATGTTTTCCGTAATTTGAGGTTAATCAAAATTCTCCCATATTTTCATCTGATGACTTTAATATCTTAATGTCCTAACATTTGTTCTACCTAGACTTTATTCTGATGCATGATGGGAAATATGATCCCAACTTTATTTATTCCAACTAATCTTTTACAGAGTACCCCAATTTTTGCCACTGATTAGAGTTGCTATCTATTATATGATCAATTCCCATATTTAGGGGTCTGTTTCTTGAGTTTCTGTTCCATATATGTATCTTACTAATAAGCTTCATATGTCTAAATATTTGTCTGGAATAAGCTCAAATATTTGGTTCTTCTCTCACAGTATTTCTGACTATTCTTGTTTATTTTTTCATGTAAACTTTTAAAATCAACAGTAGTTACAGAGACATGGATCAAAGTTAGCTTTTGATGATAGGATAAAAGACACTTAGGAATAAACTTAAGAAATATGCAAGACTGATATAAAGAAAACTTTAGTACTCTCCTGTAAGTACCCAAATGAAGACTTAAGAGAATGGAACAAAACTGCACTCCGATAGAAACACTTAACCTTGTCATGTTGTTATAAAATTATCGGCTCTCCCTGAAGTAATACAATGTGATCACATTTTTAAGGAGCCAACAGAATTTATCATTATGTGTTGACTTTTGTTCCACTTTATGATAATTCCATGCAGAGAAGTAATAATAAAGTGATTGAAATTGATTTGATATCTGAATGAGGAAGGCAGTGTTTCATGATGGCTTCCTTAGGTTAAATTCTTGTGCATTGTTCTCAAAGATGTTTAAAAGTCTTTTTATATTAAGAAGATGTATGCTAACTGCTAGTAGCACAGTAAGTAAATGTAAAAGTTTCGGTTTTTAGTTTTATCTCTGTATTTCCTAGAAAATGTACAATGATTAAGTGATGATTAGTCAACACTATTTTTGATGTTTGACTGTAGTATTTAGTCACTTGCTCCTTTTCATCCTATTCATTGATATTTAAAAAAAAATAATTGCCTATATCCTGTCTCAGCTTTTCAGCACCCTACTAATTAAGATCAAACTTTTCTCAAGTTTTTCTCCCCACCATTTCATGTTAAATGGAATAGACACCCCCCCCCCCAAAAAAAAAGGGCTCATTCAGTCATTTCTGTGAACACAGACTGGTCACTGCTTTACCCCCACCTAGGAGGATGATCTACCTCTCTCTAAAGTACTAAAATGGCTAAGGATGTTCGGACTCCATCTTTTTCTTTCTCAAGATTCTGAAAGGAAGTTTCCTCTTTGCTTTAATAGATTTAGCAAGCATGCAAACATTCTATGACATGATGCCAAGACATGGATGTTAAAGACTGAAAAGGACTACCTCATTCATACCTCTCTTCATATCTTTTGCTATGTGTGAATAATAGTATGTGCATGGATTTTGCATCACCTAATTGTTCTTGAGACATTTATCTACCCATGTATGTACTGATAAAAGATGCATTGATAACTTATCACAATGTCTCTCTTCCCAAGCTATAGATCTGCAGAGGCAGGGTTTTCCAAGGGTTTCTCTGATCTTGCTTCTCTTTGAGGAATACGAGGAAATCATCAGTAGGAGGAAACCACCAAACTTTGTAGTGTTAGCAGAGAAGTAAAGAAGTGGAGAGATAATGAGTGAAAAGACCAAGGTTATTAACATTAGATATAGGGAGATAAATGTTCAGTTTTCATACTAATCCCCAGAAACTCAGCTATTTCATTGAAGATAGTATGTGCAGTGAAATAACATGGTTCTATAATTCATCTGGTATAATAAAAAGGTAAAAATGTGAAAGATTACATTTCCAAAATAATATGAAACTGAACTCTTCCTCAGTCAAGCAATAAAATACAAACTTACCCTTCCACTCCTTTGTGAAGCAACATTCTTTCTACCCTCTGAAATATTCCCATTATGTGGCAGGATATGTAATCTTAAATAAAAAATCAGCTCTCAGCTTGGCATTTCAGCCCAGCTCTGGTCCTCCATTTTCTGCTTCTCTTCATATCTAAACTGTTAGAAAGTTTTGCACCACTTCCACAATGCTACTAACCCTTTTCAGCCTCATCCATTCCAGTCTTGTCTCTGTCTCCATCACTAAACCAAGATCATGCTTGGAAAGTCACAGGTTTTCCAGTGCTTCTAGCCAATCTAACGTTTGCTTTCCTGTCCCCATTTTCCAAAACTCTCAGCCTGCTGCAGGGCTGTTTCCTCTTCTTTCTCCTACCTCCAGCTCCAGCCTTCCCTCTCCAGGTCACTTGTTGCATTTTTTTTTTTTAACCTAAGTTCGAAACACTGACATGGCCTGCAAGGCTCCATAGGATGTTGTTGTTCATCTCCCTTTTTTATTTTCTTTGGCTCCCCTCTCCTTTATCTAACCAAGTTTGGTCTCACTTTAAAGTGACTTTCCCTAAATCCCCTTTCTTTTCAAAGTAAGTGCTCTCTTCTATTCTTTATCATAATACTTATTTTTATATTTCATAGAAATTCTTACAATTTGGAATTATGTGTTGTGTATTTACTTGTTCATTATCTGTACATTTTGAAGCTTATCGGGATCCATATCTGTGTGTTTGGATTTTATAATCATTTTATACTTGACCCACAGTAAGAGCTATCTATGTTCACAATTGATTGAATAAACAGAAATCTCGAGGCAGCATTGTGCCAATAGAATAATAGACCCATATGTCACCTCACAACCTGGCATATGTTAGAATGTGATATATTCAGCATCAAATTCAGAGTAATGATGAATTCAGTGGAATAAGGGAGAGAGAAAGATATGATGGGGGCCAGATTCAGAGAATTTCAGAAATATTGGTCATATTTCCTTTTCTTTAATTGTGTTTGAGTTTTGAAGACATTACCCTTTAAATTATTTTCTATGGTTGCATTATTTATTGATGCCCTTTTTTTTGTAAAGTTAAGGGCTAACAAAGGTGACACTGACATGGCCTGCAAAAATATTGATAAAATATTTGATGTAAAGATAATATTTATTTGAAAATACACAAAGTACTAAAAATGAAAGGCCCCAGTGCCCATACAGGTAGATGGGCCAAATAATCAGACAGAAAATTCACTCAACCACTAAAGAAATGTTTGAATATATACTTAAGTTCAATGATAAACAAATATGAAAGTTGAACTTTCATTTATTGGTAAAAAATATGGAGGGTCTCTTGCTATGCTGGCACATGCAAGTTTTGCATCCAGTAAATTTACTTCTGAGCATCTGTTCTCAGAAAGTAATCACCAACTTCTAACAATTACTGTTTTTCAGCAATTGAATTATAGGTGTGTTTTTCCTATTTTGCAGAAATTTTAATATCATCATGTTTAATATTTACAAAGATGGAGTGACATAAACACCTTTTGATAGTATACAGATACAGTAGCAATATTCCCTAGCTTCTGTTCCTTTATAACCAGTTAAGCCAGGAAATAATAGAGAAGAATCTTAAAATGGATTATTTTGTTCTTCAGCAAGCAACCTGATTTAAAATAATGTTCAAATATGTGTCTGAATACATAGTTTTCTGTTTTTCTCTTTAGGAAAAGAAAGAAAGACAGGAAAGAATTGAACGAAAGCAAAAGAAACGCCATTCATTTCTTGACCACGAGGCACTTCCTCCATGGAGCCCTCCCAGTAGAACTGTGTTCTCGAAAGTCTTTTGACAATCCTTGTTCTTATTTACCAACTTGCCAATTTTAGTCACGGGTTTAGAACATTCATTCAATTACTTATAGTTGGAAAAATCTATTTTAATTAAATGGCAGGCCTTTCTGTTAAAATGAAAAAGATACTTTGGACTTTAATCAGTAAAAGCATTTTTGAACTGTAGATAAACTGCCTCAAATGAAAAGCTAATAATCAGGTTGCTCTTACTATGAAAATGCATAAAGCTTTATATGTCCTGATAATTCTGAAAGTGGAATGCTCCTTGATCACTTTCATTAACCTCTGCACGCAATTTAAATATGTTAAGCCCAATAAAAACAAGGAAACCATCTAGGTACTCTAATCATAGAAATAATTGGATTCGTCGATGATCATGCATTTGGATTCAGGTTTTTTAATGAATGTATGGTGGGGAGTGTGCATATATTATTTCTTCTAAAACTGATGTTTAGTTAAAAGCAGTTGCCTGTACACTGTGCAAGTTAGAATTTTGGTCAATTGAGGCCATAGTTCAATAAAACTGTAATCGGTGAGGCATTTTATTTATTTAAGAATTTTACCTACTATTTAATATGTGCGTACTTTACTCCGGGCTTAAATGACAATCATAGGCACTTTATAATGAAAGCTTTCTCTCTAAATTCTATCTCACTTTATTTACTAGTTCACAGATACCAAAAGACAGCAATTTCATGGTAGTGATATACTTACACATTAGTTATGGAAATTCCACAGGAGTTCAAAGTCATTATCATATAATTTTCTACAATAAAGCCATAAAAGTTATGAAGGTGACACTTGTCCTTTTCACTAATCCAGATATAAAGTCTGTATTTAGAAAACAGCTAAATGAGAAAGTAACTTTGTAAAAAATATCCAAAGAACTTTTATTCATTTCTTTGTTCTCTGCACATCCTTGTATTAACTAGTCTCATACTTGACCTGGTCTCAGAGTTGAAATGCTGCTTTAATCAATAATTCAGTGCAGAGACAATGAATGAAAATAAATAGTTACTATTTATAGAGAACTTATATTATCTCTGCTGGATCTTTACAAATGTTATATCTCATCTTCAGAACACTTATTCAGAGTAGATATTATTAGCTTCATTTTTGCAGATAAAAATGCTAAGACTTTGAAAAACCAATAACTTGCCATACATCTTACATAAGACTTGAGTCCAGACCACACTGATTAAGTATCTTAGTATGCAGACGTACTTATGGGCTGCAGAGCCCTCGTACTGTTTTTCACATGCCCATGTTACCTCAGAAATTGTAGGATCTATCAAAACCTCCATATTCATCAACGCATTTTTAATTTTCAGAGCTTAAAATCTTGGATTGTTATCCAGAGATTGTCTTTCCCTGAAGAAAGAACTGCTAGCTATTAAGATGATGGACATAATTAAATCTATAAGATGAAGTAGGAATTCATAAGATTTAAGGAGTTACTTAAACCTTTTTTGTCTAATATTAGAGTGTTAGAAAACTCAGCAGGTTATGTAATGCAGACTTTGAGATTTCAAAAGGAATTGCAGGGGGTTTCATACACTGAGCACTAAACTTGCTGTAGCGTTTGTACAGGATGAGATGTCAAGGATCACTTTGAAGGATCATATGTAAGTAAACAATTTCATAGATAAACTAGAAGACTTTTTATACTACTAGAACTAGAATACTTCATGAAATTGAAGTAATAACCAGTAGTATGTATTATCAGCATGGGATTTAGGACTTCTCATTCAGCCATGTGGCCCCCTTAGTACCAAACTTAATTCCTACCAGAATAGATTGTTAAGTGTTTCTGGTATTGAACTAGACATTCAGAGCTAAAAAGATTTGCAACATCTAGGGAAATAACATCTGAGGTAGGATGAAATGAGAAATTGAGATGTTTGTATATTCCCAGCAAATCATTTCCCTCAAATATGTCTAGAGATTTTTGTTTTACTATAATAATATGTTATTTTCTGTTTACAGCAACTAGTACTGAAATCAACTAGATGAATGAAATCACCTCTTGCATAGCAGAAATAATGCTGAGTTTGGAGAATTAAGTAAAAATGTAGTACTAAACTATTATTTACTTTCTAAGATCTAAAGGGAACAATCAACCCTGATAATATTCCCTTGAATATAACTTTATTTAATGGTATAATTCTTTCCATATTTCCTTAGAAAATATTAAATCTTATGAATATTTACTTATTAAGTTTTCATTAATATATAAAGGAATATTTAATTGAAATTAAAGACACAAAGATTCTACAGGATTTCATATGATTTCATATTAAATGATCAGCCTATGTCATTGCATTGATCAGCCCGGTGAATTGGCCCATGCCTGTAATCCCAGCCACTCTGAAGGCTGAGACAGGAGTTGAAAGCCAGGGAATTCAAAGCCAGTCTCAGTAACTTAGCAAGGCCCTAAGCAACTTAGTGAGACCCTGTCTCTAAATAAAACATAAAAAGGGCTGGGATGTAACTCATTGGGTAAGTGTCCCTGGGTTCAATCCCCAGAACCCCCAAAGTAAGTAAATAAATAAATTGATCACTTGAAGAATGTTGATTTTTAAAAAAATAGGAAATTTTTGAACATTATTATTTTATATATATTTTATGAATATTGTTGTTATATTATTGAAAATAATAAGTTCTCAGAAATCATTTGTGAATAAGTTTAAATATATTAAATAAACCTTTACATTGAATTTAAGTTTCATAATGACCAAGAAAATGGTAACATAAATAATAATGCAATTTTAGATCAGAAAGAGCTTAAAAGTTTCTTAATGAAAGATAATGAGCTATTCATAGAATAATGATTTATCAGTAATTTATATTTACATCACACACTTTGAAAATGTGAGTCCATTTATTGTTTTAACTTGAAATAAAACCAATATTTTTCACTATTGCCCAAGTTGTACATAATGGTAATTAGGTGTCTATAAATTGTATATGCCTTCTGTAGAACCATCCTTCAAATAAGCTATTTAGGTACTGACACTGTTATTGAAAATGTGTAAAAATAATAAAGTTTCTTAAATCCTGAGTCATGGGCTAAAATACTAGAGAAAAGGGATTTCATAAAATAAGAGAAAGTGTATGTTATTTAAAATCACTGCCCAAAATAAACTAGTACAGGAAATATATATCCCTAATTTAACCCTTACTTTGATTTTAGTAGTGTTATATTAAAAGACATTTAAACCCACATGCTTCCATTTTACACAAAACAATTATCAATTTTTTTAATCCTAGCTAAACTGATAGAATATTAAAATGATGTCTAAATGCTTAATTGGAAGGCTTTTAAGTTTTTTTATTTTAAAATGCCCTATATTCCTGTTATTTTGGAATATGTATGTTATGTGTAACTGTATAATGTTGATTTCAATAGACAAAATTCTTGGTGTTGAATTTAGGATGTTTTTAGGGATTATTGGGGGAGATGTTTAATGTATGCTTTTTGGTGGAACATTTTCATGTAATAATTTATTAAAGTCAGTCATTCAGAAATTATTTTGTTGAGTGATATTTATTCGCTGTGTACCAAAATTTCATTTCCAATGTTAGGAAGTGTACTGTGAGTTTTATTTGTGGGCTAAAGATAAAAATATATTGTGTTAATATACCCTTCATTAGAAATGACTGAAAATTTGTATATTAAACTGTTCTAACTTAAAATTTAGATATAAAAGAGGTTTAAACTACACAAATTACAAAGATAACATAATTACTAAATAATTAGAAAATGCAAATAATCGAAGTCACCCTTGCTCCTATCTCCCCCAAATAATTATTCTTAACTAACTTCTTTTGCTCTTCTAGTTCTTATTTTCTAGTGTATTTTCCGAATTAATATGAGAATGAAAGAAGAGAGTGTATCTATTACTATTTCTCTATTTCTGTTTCTCCCTCTGTCTTGTTCTCCTTCTGTCTCTTCTGTGCTACATGTATCCGTGTGTGTGTGTGTGTGTGTAAACTATCTAAAGCAAAAACAATGAATATACATCCATATATTCAAACATACAAATACCTTTCATCTTTGAGATAAAAATAAGATCAAATTACATATTTAATAATCAGGTTTCTCCATTTAATAATATGTCATGTACATATTTCCATGCTAATATCACTTTTTAATCATTTTTTGGGCTGCAATTTTAATTTATTTAACCTATTCTTGAGTAATTTGTTTCCTCACAAGTATTTACTATAGGAAATGATATAATATAACAATACAATTATAGCCAATATCCTAACTAAAAATAGTGAACTTCTTTAAATCTGTGAAATTAAATAAGAATTCATAACATTTAAGGAGTTATTTAAACATATTATTTAGCTGTAGAATGTAACTCAGCAGGTTATGTAGCAAAGTTGTGGGATAGTCACTCAAGAGGTTTTATGTACAGGATCAGTCTTGGTGCAGTGAACGTGCAAGATAAAAATAATGTCCTGGGTCATTTCATAAAGTCCTTTGCTAACTCTGTAAGCAATTTAGCAAGATCCTGTCTCTAAATAAAAACATAAAATAAAAATAAAAATTTAAAAATGGGCTGAGGATGTGGCTCAGTAATAAATTGCCTCTGGGTTCAATCCCTGGTACCCCATCCCTGAAAATAAAAAAAAAAATGAAAACCAAAACAAATCACATCCTGATTCTTGGGAAACTTGCAGTAACCAAGTACAATAATAAAATCTATTGATTTTTCCATAGGTATGATGATATCAATCATAATCCAGAGGTTGATTCATATACAGTTAATATTTTGTATACATAGTCATGTTACTTTGAAAAATAAGTAACCTCATGGTGATTATAATCCCTTTTATGAAAGTTTTCAGTAACTCCTACTAATCCCACACATCCCAGAGTAACTTATTCACTCTCTTCCCTATACTATTTCCTTGCCCTGAATAACCATTATTGAAGGCCTCATCTTTGTAAGTGTATTTTCTCAGCTTAAATGAGGACTTAGTGAAAACAGAAACCATATTTCAAACATCTTAGCATTTCTACTTTATCTATGGGCTTTGGATAAATGTTCTTGGCTGGTAGAATAGCAAGCTAAAAATAGAATATTAACTAGTACGGGAGTTATTTGTAATGAATGCATATAATATGTATAAACAAGGACTCTGATAAAATTACAAAATTTTATAAGTATTAAAATAGCATTACAAACTATGACAACCCTTACAAATAGTTTGAAATTCTAGGTGATACATATTTTTTTTAGTTCTAACTAAATTTTAAAAAGAATACATGCTCTGTGTGTGTGTGCATCATTGCATTAAAATAAGTTCACATATATTCTGATATACACAATGAAACAAATTGAACCCTATCAAGAGAACTATTTTCCTCCTTTCTTTGTATCTTTCCTATGACTATATTAAATAACAATAATAACAACAACAACAAAAAAAAAAACCAGCAAGCCCAGGGCTTACTGGTTTATTCAGTCTAATGGGTAATGGAAGTATCTTTTGACTACAACTAGAATTCAGACAAACTCAAGTGCAGATGCTGAAGCCAGACTCTACAGTGATGCCTCGATCCTGATGAATGGATTGCATGGTTGCTGTGTGGCCACTTTTTATCGTATCATTAGGTCTAGAGCTCAGAGTTACACCTGTAAAGTTTCTGGTTGTGATCTCCAAAAATACAACCTGATGTCAACTGCTCTATATCAAAATCATTAGTTCATCAATCAATGAAGAGTCTACCATGTGCCACACTCTCTGTTGACCCTTAGGGATACCATAATAATAGACATTCTTAGTCCCTGCCCTTAAGGAATTTGTCTTGGGGTTGAGTGGAGACAAACAAAAGTCACATGAACAAATATACAAATAAAATGATTTCAGTTTCTGGTAAACCTATGCAGGAAATAAAGTAGTTTAATACGATCTAGCATCACCAGTCTTTAGAAGATTGCTTTTTTAGCAATAAGATTAGTGGAGGTCCCCCAGAAGAAATAAAATTGTGACCTGAAATAATGAGGAAGCAACATTTTGACTACTTGTCAGAAGAACTGTCCAAGAAGAAAAGCTCATTTGAGTGCAAGGACTTTGAAAAGGGAAAAACAACAATGGCTGGTAGTGAACAAGGAGCAGATAAGGAGGATATGAGGTCAGAGAAGTAGTAGGTTCTAAACTACACAGAATGTCAGAAGCCATTTTTAGACATTTGGATTTTATTCCATGCAATAAAAGGTTTTAAGGAACCTGGGGTGATCTGAAATACTCTGGATAGTTCTTTCAGGTAGCTGAATGAGGGATGCACAGTAGGGGGCTTCTTTACTAGTCCTGCTAAGGACTGATGGAAAAGTTGAAAATGACCAAAGGCAGGATTTGAGATACAGTTGGGAAGAGGAGCAAATGGACTTTTCTAATGAAATTATGAGTAGAACCTATGAAGGTAAGACAAAAATCAATGGTGACTTCAAGTATTCTCATAGCCCAAGTGAATGGATGAATGGTGATACTCTTGTTTTTCAGGTAGATTTGAAGGTAATGGATTTGGGACCAGGGATGCAGAGAGATGATAGTTTCGTAGGGAATGGTCCAAGAAGACTCAGTGCATGGAGTGGTTAGGGGAAGGAGATAGTGATTCTCCCAAACCCATGTTTGATGCTTCTTGCTTCTTAATTATTGCATACTGCACAAAGCCCAAGGCATAGTCACAGTCCTAGAAGGCTTAGGTCAAGCGCACTTCAACCTGGATCATAATCTATACCTGGAAGCAATCGAATTCCTGTGCTGACATTGAACCCAAGCACCACTTCCTCCCCTCTGTTGTATTATTCCTTTCTGCCTTCTCTCAGCATATCCCATATGTTCCACTTCAGTATATCATGACAATGGGTAACAAAAGAGTTGTCTTTCTACTTCCCAGAAGTCACTTGTCCTCTGTGCCACTTTTCTATTTCTTTTCTCAATAACTTTTGAATTCTATTTATCAACAAATATGTAGGAAGATCAACACAGACATAATATCCTATTCCAGAGTTAATAGCTTAAAGATTCAAGATGTACTGAGCTTACAAGACTTTGTATGCAGTAAAAAACATCTCCCTTTCTTGCCCCAGCCACCCAGATCCTTTCCCAGGAGGAAACCCTTATTGCCAGTTGCTATGATTTGGGTCTGAAAGGTGCCCCAAAGGCCCCCGTGCTAAAGGTTTTGTCCGGAGTTTGGTGCTATAGGGAGGTGGTGGAAACTTGAAGACATGGGGCCCAGTGGAGGAAGTCACTGAAGCTGTGTCCTTGAAGGGAATAGTGGAGCCTGATCTTTTCGATTTTGTTCTCAGCCATGAGATGAATGGTTTTGTGCCACCTGCTCCTCTGCCATGATGTGCAACATCACCACAGACTCAAAAGCAGTGGAGCCAACAACCATGTACTGAAATCTCCAAAACCATGAGCCAAAATAAATCTTTCTCCTTAGAACTTGATTATCTCAGGTATTTGTTATAGTGACAGAAAGCTGAATAAAACTCCAGGTTTTTGTCTTTCCAAATATATTCTCTGTATTAAAAAGAAGTCATTGTTCTTTTTAATCTTTCCAAATGATAATATCCTTCATGTACTGTTCTAAGTATTGTTTGTATCTTATAAAACTTTCCAAATTGATGCATTTAGAACTTTATCTGTGTTATATATAGCACTATACTGTTACATTATATGCATCTATGATACTTTATTTGTCCATTTCCCTTATTAAGGACAATTTATGTATTTCCAACTCTTCAGCATTGTCAAATAATAAATCATAAAGAGTCACATGAAGATGCTATTTTATTTATGAACAGGAGAAAACAGTAGCTTGATTTTATCTAAAACTTAGGAGGAAAAAAACAGGATTTATATAAGAGAAAGAAGGTAGAAAGAAAAAGAAGAAAACACTGACCGTGGCAACAGGACCTGTTCTGTCCTTGGGTAAATTGCTGATTAGTGAGCAGCTTTGATGTATTGTGATGTTTTTGGTGTATTCTGTTTTTGGATGGCTGGATAGGTCATCAGGAAAAGACAATTGCTGTTACTATTGAGTCTTTAAAAATTCCTGCACCATCAATCATAAAGTTTACCTGACAGGCTATTTCTGGAAAATTGCTTTCAGCATCTTTGTCCAGCACTTCCACTTTCATCAGGCCTCAACTGGACCATTTCCCCCCACCAGGATTTCTCCCAGATCACATTGCAGAGAATAATCTTGTGCCTGCCATTTTACGTATAAGAAATATAGAATCAATGCTCACAACTGGAATTGCTAGATCAAACAATATGTGCATTTTAACTTTGAGAAATTTTCCCAATTGTCTTTTGTAGAACCTAGGCCAGCAGTGTAGAAAGTTAGCACACCTTTGCCAACAAAATGCTACCAAGATTTCCCTCTAAATCACAATCAATTCTATTCTTTCAATACAACATTTCTTCGTTTGGAACACATGGAAGTATTTTCACTTCCACCAAAAAATATGACTGTTCCTATTTTTCTTAAAAAGTGAATT